GAATGTTTGTTTGTGAGCCTGGAAAAGGCAGATAGGCTCTTGCTGTTTGTTCAGCTTGCCTGACTCTGGATCAGATGGCTGAATAATGATACAAACAGTTGTGTGGCTTATTATTTTATATTTTTATGGAAACTATGGAAACTTTTTTTTTGGCCAGGATTCTTTGATTAATCAAAAGTTCAAAAGAACAGTGTTTAGTCACTTTTTATCAATGTAAAGTATCCTTTCTGAAAAATGTTCATTTATTAAAAAAAATAAAATCTTACTGACCCCACGCTTTTGAACAGTAGTGTAAATGCAAAACATTATAAATAAATAAATCAATAATATTGAAAGTTCACAAATATACACTTTTAAATTTCAAATATACTTTTAATGTACTTTTAACTTCTACTCTTTGACCTTTTTGTCACCTTTTATTCATATTACAAGAGAACAACAAAGGATGGCATTGGTTTGTATCTAAAACTTGATTTCAACTTGAGCCACCCACATGAGCACCAAGGCTCAATGTGTCATTTTAGTGACCCCAAAATGGCTTCTAAGTACACAATTACCTTCTGAGACCAAACATGTCCTCATAAACTTGAAGAAGAGCTCAGAGTAAAACCTTGCAAAGTGTGTCTGTGAGATTGAAGGTGGCTTGTCCTTGTGGCGATCATTAATCATGGCTGTAATTCTGGGCTTTTATAACGCTGCATTCAACAGCTGTGCCCTTTCACCACGGTCTTCAGGCCCTGAAGTGGCTTTCATTTACTCGCCACAGAAGAGCTTATTGTACTGAGCACTTTAACCTCTGTGGCCTGAGCGATGCCCATCATGTGCTCTGTTTAGCTGCGTGAGACCTCGCCAGCTGTTCTGGCTTTCACAGGCCTGCCGCGATTTTGATGTAGATTGATAGGATTATTCCTAGAGCACTTGAACACGCTATGACCACGGTGACTCAGTGAGCCACAAGCATTCGCACTGGTGCTAATCAGATGTTCTTCTTGTAGAATTCCTGATGTTTTTGGACAGCGGTTGTTGGATGTGTTTCTGGTCAGTTCGTCAGCAGATGATTGGACTTGATTGTTTGGTGTTTGCAATCTTAGTTGAGTATGTGAACAAGCGCATGCATAATCATACATCCAACCACATCGCTCAAAATAAATTGTTGGTTGGGAAGCCCCTCAAAGCTAGTCTGTCTCGCTTTAGTTTTAAAGTAAGTCATATTGCTTTATTATCAGATGAACAGTTAACTTTGCATTAAACTTTGCATTAAACCTAATGAGTGAATGTGATTGATTGTACATTGAACAAATTGTTTCATTTGTTTCTATTTATATTTCTCCTAAGGTGCCTTAGGAGAAACATCTGAGACATTTGAGACTTTCATTGAAGTTGAAACTTCACTAAAACATAACTATGAATTACATTAAGTTTCATAAGCTTTAAAAGAGCAATGAAATGTGGGCCAGTTCTAACAACATCAGGAGCACTATAGATATGTCAATGGCCTTAACTTTATTTAATATCTAGATGCCAGACACTCTGGTTCTCCTAGGCTCTCTGAAACCACCTCTAATTTCCCATAACCATCTCTCCCCTTTTCCCTGTCTGAACGTCCCATACAGAAGGAAAAGCTCTTCTGTAGTCTCTCATTATGCTTGGTTTCCTGCCCACTGTATGGACTGCAGTACCCTCATCTGCATAATTCCTCTCTTAGTACTTTTCAATGATACGTGAGCTAATCAGACCCACAGAGAAGCGTGGACCCTGGTGTGGTCCGGCTGAAGCCTTGATGATATTTACTGATGGGCTGCTGTCTCAGAACTGGATCTGCTATCAGCAGTGCTTTGCTAAGGCTATTATTGTTGCTTGTATTTGTGGTTAAAGATTTGAACAAATTGCTAACACTGGTGTGTAACTTTGAATGACAGTTGTTGGTGACTTTTGCCCAATTTATGAATGAATGAAAATAAATAAATAAATAAATTTGAGTTTTGCACATTTGGATTTAAGACATAAAATTAATATTTTTGGGGCATATTTTACAGGTGTGAATTTAAATTTTATACCTATGACATTTAACAAAATCGAATTGTTTTGAGACATTTTGTAGATTTTATAAAATGTTTATATAAATGTGTTTCAGTTAAATGTTTGTTTATTTGCAAAATGTTTATGCCTTTTTAAACAACAGATTTTCTAGGCTTCAGACCTTCAAATTCAAATTTTTTAAATTCAAAATGGTAGAAATTCAAATTGTACATAAACTGCACAGGAGACACCATTTTTATATTTTTATACCTCTATATTAAAAATGTATATTTCATATTCTATATTTTTTAGGCTTCAGAACTTCAAATTCAAATAGCTAAAATTCAAATGTCCAGTCATTCTTGTTTTTTGTTTTTTGTTTATACCTCTATTTTTATAGCTTCTCATGAGAATTGTTTGATTTGACTTTGACCAATTTAGGGAAACAAATAGTTTTACAAGTTGTGGTGTTTCCCCCCACCTCTTCCTTAGAGAAAAAACAATAGATTAAAGTAGTTTGCATGAGATAACTGTATAATTATAGATTTTTACTGGTTTTACATGGACACTGTTGGATTGTTGCTGCAGGTATCAAGCAATATTATTAATTTATGGTCTTGACATGTCATTTAAACACATTTCCAACTTATTATCAGTATTATCAGTATTTTCAGCAAAGTGGGTACATTTTGGATCTATTCGTAATCAGAAGTAGTATGTTCTGCGTATGTTTGGTTTCAAAGAGAAAGTGTGTTCCTCTTTCCTCTTTCCTGCAGACTGGCAGCTGTGTCCTTCCACACAATCTTTCAACATAATCTTTGGTAATTTGCCTTGATTTTTAAAGCCATTAAGATGAATGAATCCAATTGCTGTTGTTGTGTTTATGTGGGTTGTCTGGGCCCACTGTTATTGGAACTAGTACATCACCTTCTCCTTAAATCAATAAAGCCAGAAAACGAGAAAGCAGGGTGTGTGTCTGAAAATAAGCGGGCAGCTGGGGCTTTGGGGTGCATGGGGAACATCCTTCTAATGTGCCCATGTAGACATGTCAGCTAGCCGCATAAGGTTTGGTTTAATTAGATATCAGGGGAGGAAGGGCGTTTTGGATTGGTTTGTGTGGATCAAGGCCATTTGAATCTGAGGGAGCACCAGGTTTTTGTTTGTGTGTCCTCCAGGGCATCTGGGCACACCACCTGTTAATGAGTTGTGAAGTGTTCTTTCTAAACCCACCATAAATCCATATTCTACAGTCAGTAGTCAGTGCAGTTTTGGAGCTAGAATATTCAAGGTTTCCTTGTCTACATTGATTCCCCTTGGGGATATACAATATTTGTACTTTTTTATAAATATATTTGAGTTTTCTAGCTTTTTTTTGGAGGTCTTTTTGAAGTTGTATACAGATTATCCCGAATATTTGATGTATACATGTAAATGTACATTTTAAGCTTATAAATGTATGTGTAGTTGTCGTGTAGAAGTTTGTGAATGTTGACTATTCCAGTTCTTTGGAATCAGTTCTGCAGTTCTTCTGGGTTGAGCAAATTGTGTAAAGATAGTTTTGTTTGTCAATCATGTACAAATTGATTGATTAAAGCTGTAAATATGCTTATAGACCTGGTATTAAAATCTTATTTATTGAGTCATTTGCATCACAAAGAACTTGGGTTTTGGGGTTTGAACAGAAAAGCTAATGGTATGGTGAAGTCAATATGGTGTCTATACACAAACAGACAGACTCAAGTAAATGTGTGAGTTCTATGTGTTTGTATGCTTGGTGTTAAATGTTCATAAACTGTCCTTTAACATTGCTAAAAGTGTACAAATGTTTAAAATGTGCAAACATGTATTTTGACCGCTTGAATGCTTCCAACACAAGCTAGCCAAAAGTCTCATGATGGTCACGACCTTGAGATTCTGTGAATGGACTCAGCGAGGTGTTTGTTGAGATACTGCCATCTCAGCATAACGCAGGCTAAAAGTGGCATTTCACTAAATGCATCAACAGAAGTGCTAGCTAGTGTGGCCCAAGTCATAAAACAGACATTTGAATTCTCCTGAAAATCATTCAAGCACTCAATTATGACGTTAAAATGTTGAAACAGTAGCACTGTTTGTCAGAGAGCTCTAGCGACAGCGTGAACGGAAGGATAGACAGTGGTCACACTTCCCCGAGCTCTAAGTGCTCTCCAATGACTTCCTTTTGTTTTGCCTGTCTGCCTTTTATTCTCCGTAAATGATGCCAATCTTCATTCACGGCCATGACGGTCCTGACAGGATGCTTCCCAGTCATCTGGCCCATTCTGACCCCCTTTATATTAAACAGGCCTCTTCACCTCCCCACATCCCAAATTAACCCCCTGTCAGTGCCCAACAATGGAAGTGGGCATGGCTCCAGTCTGATTTATCCCACACTTCGCCATTATGGGGGGCATCTGCCACACCCCCTGCCCGGTCCTCCCTTTCTAAACCAGGCGTAGAGGAGAGCTGTCAGTACATCTTCCAGAAAAGCGACATGCACTGATTGGGGAATTAGTTTAGTCAATGACTGTATGTAGAGCTAAATAGGGTGTGTGTCAGTGACTTTGTGTGTATTTGCAGTTGGGTCGGCCTAGTTCTACCCATGCGCTGCAAGAGGGCACACATTGTCACTCCTCAGAAATACACATAGACGATCAGGGCTAACTGCACCTCTTTAGGCCTGTGAAGAGAAGGAAAACGCAATATTTAGGACTTGCACTCTTGGGATTCTCCAATGGATTAATGGCTAACAATTGATTAACACCTCGGAGCTTGAAGTTTGAAGTGCTTTCTTGACATGATAATGCAGTTTGGAGGTTGCAATTGCAGACCTTTCAAAAGTTGCTGTCTGCAGAGCCTAGTACTGCTCATCTTTTGGTATCAGGGATACTGGGGCGCTACCATGTTGCCGTTGGCCCAATATTCTTTGCTCGAGGTCTCAGAGTCTGTGTTACTTTCAACAGACACGGGGACTCAGGAGGGGACTAGCAATAGGGCCACAGAGGCCCCCACTGCAGAACACGATGACGACAACTCTCTGGGCTATACAGGTACTGCTTCTTATTTCTTACCTAAAAATACTGCTTTGTATTTACCATGGAAGAGCTTCTCTCAAATATCTTATTTGAATAACATATATGGTAGGTGTCATTCCATCTCTTCCATGAACTTTTGACATTTTTGTAAGATAAATGAGGGGTTGCCTGGTGATAACATGAAGTTTTTATGTAGATATGACCCATTTCTGATCCAATCATTGCAGGTTCTTCTGTAGATTCTCTTATTCCGCTTGGGTTTCCATGAACTTTGCACAACCTTCACCTTAAGTCTGTCGGTGCATCTGAATTGAGTGACATTTTTCCATTTATAATCTGTTTATATTCTTTACAAATGTTACTTAAGTCAAGCTGTGGAAATTGGACACCCTTGCTATGTTATTTTCGGGAGACAAGCCTGGAACATTCTGATGCTTATGACCCAAAGGTGTAGAGTCAGCCAGAACCTCAATTTCCAGATTAAATGCACTCAGATGAGACGAGTCAATCGGTGAGAGAAGATCCCTGACCCTTTTTGCTTAAGTGGAAATAGAGTTCACCTTCTAGGGGCCCTGGGGGCCAGAGAAGAGAATCTCCTGCAGTGTGTGTGGTGTTATGTTTGGAGAAAGCTTGCTAACATTCTGACCTTCACTAGAGAAACAATTCGATAAGTGAAAAGGCGGCTTTGGCTTCATGGGTGATCCAGTGGAAGATGAGAATAGCTGGTATAGAGCATAGAGAATGACACTACAGCCTCAAGAGAGCACTCTGTTTCACAATCTCACAAGGACAGAGATACTGCCTGCCTGACTGTGGTAGAAAAAAGGTACAGTTAGAGTATTGTTGTGGACATTTTTAATATCTTTTAGTTCTTCCATTGACTTAGTCTTGCCCAACTCATAATACAGTTACAGAGCTAGAGGTTGATAATGTTATGTATTGTCAGAAAACACAGCAAACTCTTTTTTATATGTTTCTTCAGTTACGTTTAAAAGTAACTTAGCTTCAAAAATGAGCATCAAAGATGCATCATGTTGGCTGCAAACAAATCTCTTGTGAGAGCACTGACAGGCTGTTTATTCCAACTTTTTGGAACAGAGACAGAAGGAGAATGTTTGTCCAGACATCTTTGGCATTTCACATGTATGCCATGAAAGCTTTCCGTACCTCTTACCTAGTGCTGGGCGGTATACCGGTTCATACCGAATACCGGTGTTTATTTTTGTTATGATATGAATTTTTAAAATACCGCAATATGTCGCTTAAACAACGTTCGGAACGTGACACTGTTTGAAAGGGGTCCCTTTTCACTGTTGCACTTTGGTCATACCGCCCAGCACTACTCTTACCCTTATTGAAGATTGAATCTTTGAAATAGAATGAAAAGCAATGTATTGGGTGGTGTGATAAAGCATTTAATCTGTTTGTGATATGTAGTCTTCATGCATCTTGTTGCAACAATGCTGCACATACTGTCATGCTGCGTAATACTTGTCTGTGGTGGTTCCAAATGCACCTGGTTGTCTGGGAGTGACAGTCTGAGACTGAATTAGTCCCGTCTCCTGTGCATCCTCCTTATGGGGTCCTACTCAGGCCTTAGAGTCCTGACCTTGAAGGCCCCACAATCATTAGTATGACTGCCTTCCTAATGCCTTGCATTATTAGGGCCATGGTTTCTGCCTCATGGACGTGCAAATGCAAATCTCCCACACGTTCAGGGTTAAATTTTTCCACCCTTCGTGGAACACAAGCACTCTTACAATGGAGCTTATCCACAAAGCATATTCCCCACAAAGCGTTTGCTTCTCTTCAGGGTGGAAAACATGGAAAATTCGGGCCCTTCCTTTAGGTCCGATCCCACTTGAGATGTAATTACCTCCACCGCAGTCAACCAGAGGGTTTTCTCCACAAGAGAGGATGTGGACTCTTCTTATATTCATTTTTCCCCATCCAATCTCTTTTCATTACAAATTCTGGAGCTTAACTCGCCCCGTGTCCCAGGAAATAGGGCCATCAGGCTAAACTGTCAATGCTGAACCAGGCTAATTCTGTCAAGAGTGACTGGAGTGCTGCGGAGAATGAAAGGAGCAGACTAGTTGGAGATAAGAAGCTGGTTGTGTTGAGGTTCTCATTATTCTGCAACACGTCTGTTTGGCACGGGATAAAGAATTTAAATTAGTTTATTATTGCAGCTGAGATTAGTATGGGTGAAGGAATACAAAATTGTCTCGTCGTTGCCAAGTGCTAGCTAAGCGCCATTTGGTACACAAAATTAAACGGCTTTCAAAATTCCAAAGAAGTAGTCATTTTTAAGCTTGAGTCGTAAATGGCATGCGCTTTCCTGAAGGAAAAAAAAGACGAGAGGGAAAAAGAAAGTTCAACGAACCCCTTTTTGTGTTGAGTCTGGAGGTCCATATGGTCCCCTCATGACTGTCAAATGAGTTTGCACACGATTGGCAAATTTGAAAAAAAAAAAAAATAAAACCTTGGTTCCAAACCAGCATATTCAGAAATGCTGACATGTAGCTTAGAAAAATTCTGATGCACATCTGACTAGTCATTCGGTAGCAATGCTATATTTAAAATGCAATTTCCACAGAAATGACAACCTCCATCAGTTTATTTGAATACGGCAGAAAATCACCCCAAAAAAATCCTTGAATAACTCAACAACAGTAATTTAAAACTCTCCAAACTTCCCAAACAAGGGGGTGGCTGGAGAACTTTCAGCAGTGCCAGTTCCCACAGGCAAAGTTATGAAAGTGCATCCAAACAATTGCACATTTTACATTTAAACTGTATTTCTCCCACATGCTGTTTTGCCATGGAGGAGTGAATGTGTTCAGTCATCACAAGCTGGACTCTCTGCTCGCTGGGGCATGAGAGTATGCGGAGGGTGAAAGTTCTCGCTGAGTGTCATAAATCTGCATGGCACCTGCTCCCCCGCACTCCTTCGCTGTGTGTTGTGAGGTCAGTGGCACCACATAAGCTGTACATCATATTTATAGTGCTCATCATGGCAACCTGCATGTTTTGGCAGCTGACAGCAGCAGGGAGACAGAAAGAACCCTTGCGGTGTTTCTGTCGGAGGAAGGACATGCTTTTAACTGCAGAGGACGTGAGAAAGGGAATGTAAGAAGTTTGGGAGGTTGAACGTTGGAGCATGTGGGAAGCAGAGTGAGGTGAAAAGTAACTTTTTTGGCCATTACTGCAGAGATCCGTCTCACATGTGAGTTCCAGGTGTTAGACCATGTCAAACATGTTGTAAATCCACCCGTTTGTGGTGCAGATAAATCCACTTCAGAGAAATATATGAATTCACACATGCAGTAGCAGATGTTTTTGTACGCCAATGTGATTTGGAAAGTAAATGCTCAAGAATGACAGCTTCTCTGTAAATCGGAATGAAGCACTGTGTGCATTCCTGAATAAATCAAAACAAATTGAAATGCAGGGTTTTCAATATATTTGTTTCTCCATTTGGGTCATTCTAACCAGTCAAAAGCCATATTAGCTCCACTCTGTTAGAATGAAAATTTTAGACTCCATTTGAGACTCAATTTTCTGGTGCTGAATTAAATACTGCATCTTGGCTTCTTGGGTTTTTGCAAGCTGGAAAATGGGTGGAGGCAACTGTCGAGCATCACACCTTTGCAAAGGCCAACCAAATTATAGATGCACAACTCTTGTGCGTTGAAGTGTGATGACATTCTTCCTTTTGTCCCAAAGATTGGCAGTTAATTCCACTTTTTTTTGTTGGTGCTGTAAGACCCTGTGTTTGTATCAAGGGTAATATGAGAGCAATCAGCAAAAGTGCCACTTGTTCTTTCTGCATAGTCATGTTTTAATCATTACTCGGGATACATAAGCCTTGATTGAGGAATATCCAGTTGTCCTTGCTGCAGTAAAACGTTCCCGCTCCTGCTCTGCGGGGCTGCGTTAATAATTGAGCGGGACTGCTGGTGAGGGTCTTGTCCAACAGCTTGCGAAGCACCGATTGGTCGAATCCCCCGTTGTGAAGGTGGGGAGGGCACATGGAAGCCAAAGACAAAGGCACTACTTGGCTCAGTTTCTCTTAGACAGCTTCTCCTTTCATTTAAGCCTCTCCAACCAGTAAACCAATTAAGCATGAAAACACAATGCATCTTGTTTTTGCCAGTCTGAATAAAGGATATGGGAAGAGCAGGGGGACATGCTGCTTTCTGATGAGGGTAGTTAGAGATTGAGACAAGCTGAAAAGTCCCATAGTCATCTGAAACACCATTGTTTTATCGTTAATATATCTGGATCCTGTCGGCCTGTTACTCCTGGTGCACTCATGCATGGCATTGTGCAAATTAGATGTCGTGGAGGTAGGCTCAATGTCAGCATATGTTAAACCACATAACCAGTTCAATCTGGTTGTTTCACCAATACACAGGTGAGACACAAATTCAAATGTTGTGCAGTTTTAATTGCGATCTTCACCACTCTCATGCCTCTCCCAGTCAGTTGCTAGTCTCTGTCTCTTGAAAAGATACTGGGTGCTAAAGGGGATTCAGCCTATGCAGGTGAGCAGAAATGCAACAGCCTGTTTACCTGCTAGCCAAGCTTTTGTGTCTCCCAATTGTGGCGTAATGCAAAGCTCTTGTGTTCTTTTGCACTTCCCTCATTTTGCCGTCATTTTTTTTTTATGTTAGTTGTGGCAAGGTTCTGCATGGAGGGCCTCTCAGAATGGCAATACCGAAACAGATTTGTTCAGCTCACCCCCCCAACCCATCCACCCCATGTCTGAAAGCACAACACAGGGTTTGTAATGAATGAAGAGAATGTCCTTTTATGCTGTTTTTGTGCAATTCTAGTCCTCCATTCTTTGTGCGCTTTCCTGTCGGATGTATTTTAGCATTTTATTGTTTGCCCGAGAAATGTGTAGCTCTGTTGTGCCTCACCTTTCTATAACTTTTTTTTGTCCTTTAAAAGATTTCAGCATTGATTAAAAGCATTTCTTTTGTTGTTAAACTTT